ATGTAAATGTGTCACACCCGGAGGCAAACAAGAAAGTCTGGTAGAATGAAGGGCATCGATTGCACATTGAAAATTGTTTGGATTGGGGGAGAAGCATAGAGTAAATTTTAGCTGAGCGTTTGTTCAATTCCCAGTGATTTCATATATGAGAATGAATTTCAGAGGGATAACAGAGTGAATATAGTATTTAGGAATTTAGAGGAGGAAAATAGAAGGTATATCCTTAGAAGATGTTCATTAGATTAATTTCCCTCGGATATGTTAGTCTTTGAGTTTGCTACTCGCAGGATCAATAGTAACAGCAGGATTGGTGAGTAGTAGCTGTCACTGAGGTTCTTGTATAGGTTATACTTTGGTAATATACTGTGATCTATTTTATTTGTAGAACAGCCAATTATGACACGAGCATGACAAATACGATTTCAAGAATATTACAATAAGGTCTTATTCTATGATCTATAAACAAACTAAACTTACTAATCTTGCTTCTGGGAAAAACAGACATTTTGAATTATGATAAAGAAGTAATCAGTAATGTTTATTTCTTCACATGTTTTGTCCATCCCAAAGGCATTTAATACGCTTTCATTTGTTATTATCAGGCACTTACTCAATGAGTATTTTGGGGCTGATACAATAAATCAGGGATTGTTTAAAACACTGAAATTTATAATTCAAACATTTATAGTAACTGGTTTGTTTTTTTAGGATTAGTGTATAACTTATGGGTTCAAAGGGAAAAAATGCTATTTGAGAGAGCAATAAAGTACCATAGAAGTTTAAAATTTTTTTTTTAATTTGAGGTATTTTATGATTTTTTATATTGTTGAAAAAATTGTCAGCAAACTCATCTCTTTGAATCTACTCTAGGTTTTTTCATATCTTTGTATCTCTGTTTCTCTCACACATACATTCTCTCTCTATTACGTAGATATATTAATATGTAATAATAGAACATTTATTAATCTAATTGATATTTGATATATATGGAAAGAGATGAAAAGATATAGAATAGCTTAGGTTAGATATAGATATGTTAATAATATATTAGCATATATTAATAAATACAAATACATGTTAATATAAGCATATATAACAATTAATCCAATTGGGGGATGCATGTATGTATACTAATTGGATTAGTCTCTTTCCTTTTGTTTTCTTGCTCTTCCTCAGAATGAGCTATTCCCATGAAATTGGTATTTTAATACCAGAGAGACAGTGGGAATTGTTTAGATCACTTATCTTTTAAAGCACATACTATGTGCTAGGACTGTCCTAGGAACTGAGGTGAACATCATAAACATAGCCCTGCCCTCATGGAGCTTACAGTGAAGGTGGAACAGACACTAAATAAATGACCACATGTACATAGTCTCTATAGGCTCTACAGTCATGTTGGTGACAAAATGCTGTGAAGGGAAAGAACAAAATTCTATGACAGGATATAAAAGGGACTTTAATCTAGTGGGGGGAAGGGTCAGAGAGGCCATGAGTGACATGTAAACTGGCCTTGAAGGAAGGACGGGAGTTAGTCAGGTGAAAGTGAGGGGTCAGTGTTATAGGCTGAAGGGACTGCACATACCAAAGCTCTTGTTGGATTGCTTGTAGGCAAGAAAGAGAAAAGAGGGTAAAGGAATTAAACTTTATTCAGCACCTACCATGAGCCAGGTGACTGATTTTAGGGCACTATCTGACAACCTGAGTTTCAGGAAAATTTATTAATTCATTAAAGTTAATCTGTATCAGGCATTGGGGATGCGGAGATGAACGAAATATGGCAGATGCTCTGGGAGAACTCTAAGTAGAGCAGGGTAAAAACCCTTATAAGCAAGTAAAAGTAATGCAATGTTGGCTATTCACATAAATTCAGATATTTAGAAGATACTATGGGAACATCAAAATGGAAACCACGAGTTCTGCTGGGAATGCCAAGGAAAACTTCATGAGGGAGGTGTTGATTGAACTGAGCTCTGAAGGATGAATAAGCTTCCTCCTTATAGACAGAAAATGGGAAGGGCCTTCCCGGTAGAGGCCCTACCAAATGCAAAGGCCTGGACCTGGAAAGAACTTGCCCTGTAAGGGAACTGAATTCTTGACTGCAAAGATGCTAGGGGAAAATGCAGTTGAAGTAATAATCAGGAGTCATGAAACAGAACTTAATTTGTCATACTTTGTAACTTGTATTTCATGTCTAGGAAACAGGCACAGTAAAGGATTTAAGGTAAGGAAGGCTTATCTATTTGTGTTTTCTAAAGAACCCAGACATTGTTGGTGCTGTGAATGAGGAACTGGAAGGAGAGTGAGCTTGGAAATAGGTTGAACTAATGCAAGGACATTGGGAAATGAGGGTCCTCTCTGCTAGCCAAAGAGGAGAGTGGTTAATTTTTACAATAATGTAGAATTAAAGAGGAATGACATTTTTGTAACAGTACAATAAAGAAGCAAGAACTTGGGCTTCCCTGGTGGTGCAGTGGTTGAGAGTCCGCCTGCCGGTGCAGGGGACACCGGTTCGTGCCCCGGTCCGGGAAGATCCCACATGCCGCGGAGCGGCTGGGCCCGTGAGCCATGGCCGCTGAGCCTGCGCATCCGGAGCCTGTGCTCCGCAACGGAGAGGCCACAACAGTGAGAGGCCCGCGTACAAGAAAGAACTTCAGTAAATTTTTAAAATCTTTTATTGTTTTTCCCAGAGAACAAAGGAAGTACCATAAACCATTGAGACCACATTTAACAAGTGCAATTTTAACATAGTAAATGTGATCCATATGTAATTCTTTGTAACAAAATGGTCAAAACCTTTAAAAGATACAGTATAAGCATCTGCAAATCTTAGCAGGGCAGTGCGTTTTTTTTTTTTAACTGCATGATGAGTTTATATTCAAAGAGCTCAAATATGTTTTCAGAACTTTCAAAGTATAAATCATTGTTAAGTTTGCCTTTACTCTTTCTTTTTTTTAACATCTTTATTGGAGTATAATTGCTTTACAATGTGTCTTTACTTTTAAGAAACTAAAAGGATGTATTTTTATAAAAACTAGAAATAAGGAATTTACCTAGTTCCTAGCTTCTTCATCAATCCAAAACATATACTTAGAAATATAATACTATAGATATAATACTCCTAATAAACTGGATAATAAATACCATAAAAATCAAAAGTTTAATGAGTAAGTCATGACATTATGCCATACTAGGAAGACATCAAATATCTAAATGTATAGGAAAAGAATATATTAGTCCTTAGAACTCATACATTTAGGAATTCTAAATAAGGAAATATATTCCACACAGATAACTATATAATATATCCAGATTTCTAATGCAATGTAACTTAACTAGCTAACCAGGGTCAAGAGTAAGAAAATTCTCTAACATATTCCTCAAGAAACAATACTAAAGTAGTTCCTATTTCATGAAAGGGTGAGAATAACAGTTTATCTCCGTATACAGCATTCTAATGAAATATCATTCACACATTAAAGACACAGCTTTTTCCATAGCACTATAAGAACTATATTGTAGAAATACAATAGTCACCTTGAAAGATTAACAACCAATGATTCCTGATTCACAATTTAGTTAATTGCCAAAGATTTCAGTAGCATAGCAGATAAAATAACAGCAAATACTACGTAGGAAATACTACGTAGGAAATACTACGCTAAACACGCCATAAACTGAGCAGAAAGCTGCAGGGACAAACATAGTTTCCCTCCTCTCATCTCTCTCTTATAGTGGGGAATTCATACAGAAACCTAACTCACTGGAGAAATAGCCCTTGCTTCTTGTCTTCACTGGGTCCAGAGATCCCCAGAAAACTCTTCTGCTGAAGAACTGGGCAATTTTTCCAATGCACAGTCCTTTCTCTTAATTTTTCTTGTTTCCACTGTTGGGAAAAGAATGACATCAGTATAACCAAATTTCCACACACCTGTCTACCCCAACTTGTTTTCAAAACACAGTTGAGGATCAATAAAAAGCAAAGGGTGGGCTCAAGATCTCTAGTAACAACAACAACAACAACCAATACATCTCAGCAGAGTTCTGTGTAACCTCCTAGGCAATTACACATGACATTTGTGATAAGGGTTTTCCCAGGACATTCTAGAACAACTTTCGCCCCTTCTCCCGAACATCCTTTTTTTTTTCTAAGCGTGGTCTGGAATGTGGTTGCCAAATTCCACGCGGAGAATAAGGACTTTGAGAAGTCCGCACTCCAAGAGACATTCAGAAATCAAAAAGATCAAGGTGACAGGTACCTGTCCAACATTTTCTGGATGACCTTCTTGATCAGAGGAGCTTCTGGGTCCAGACAGACTTCCTTTTTGTTCTTCAAGGTGGCTCTGCAGAGAGAAAAGGAGGATGCGCCCATGAGCTGCGGGGGCTGAAGTCAGGGCTGGGGAGACATCCCTCTTGCCAAGGTCACAGTGGACAGCGCCGCGCAGGAGGACTTACACCACTTCCACCTTGGAGCACTGCGGTCCTGGGGCGATCACCTTCAGATTACTGACCATTTTGGGATGAATCCCCGGTGTGGTGGTTAAGCACATGCAACGCAGCTCTCTCACTATGACCGCGACAGGACCCGCTGGGGTAGAAAGAGAGACACGGTTATGGGCAGGTTGCTGGGAGATCTCTTCCCCAGCCAGTCCGACCTGGACATTTCCCCACGCCCAGGGCGTCGCGGCCGCCTGGCAGGCGGGGCCACTCCGCCTGCCCGGTGCGTCCGGCTGGCTGTGAGCTCTCACCGCTGGCGAGGGGCCCTGGCGGCGTCAGCAGCAGCAGCGCGAGCAGCAAGCACAGTGAGCCCGAAGGGCCGGGGATGCGGGCGGCGTGGCTGGACAGGAGTCTCATAGTGGCGAAGAGACTCAGCGAGATGGGTTCAGGAGGGAGAAGGGGTGGGATTTGAAGCTCTAGAGCACCGTGACTTCTTCGGGTCCTCCGCATCCCTTTTATCTGCACTCTCTCCCTCCCGGCAGGAAATTCAATCTTTGGGATGCCTGGGAAATCCCCCGGACTGAGGCGGGGCGGGGTAAAGGGGGCCGAGTGGAGCGGGGTTAGTCAGTGGGGTTTGGGGAGGGCGGCTGGGAGCCGCTGACTGCACCCATTCCGCGATGGACGAGTCAGCTCGCCCTGCGGTGGATGGAGTTCTGCGCTGCTCCCGCTGGAAGTGAGAAGCAGTCCTGCGGAGACTTCATCCTCGGGGCCAGCCTGGGCTAGCGAAAGCCAGCTTCTCCTGGGGCACAGAATCTTCTCAGAGATGCCCGTCGTCTCCATCTAAACAGGAAGACTGGGAACAAAGTAGCCCGGAGGTTTGACTTTAGAAAGATTTCTGAAATTCCTTTCTAATTATTATTACTATTATTATTCAGGAAATGTAAGCCATGATTAAAACTGTGCCAAACTGCAAGACCTTACACTCCTGCTTGCAGGCAGACCATTCTAGGTTCTTCAAATTAGTTTATAATTCTCTGGTCTTCAGCCAGCGTTAGAAGCCAAGATAATACGATGAAAGTACCTCTACTCCCACTTGAAGTCAGTGGGAGGACCAGGCTCCAAAATCAAGTCTACTTACTGGAAATCCTATACTTAGTTTTGCAAACATGAGTGTCAAGGTGGTTTAACAAAAATCTTCAAAAATCACCCAGCAAATTGCCCTGGGAAATGATGCCTTGTTTTGCACAGATCAATACACTATGGAAGTGGAAGATGTATGGTCTTGTTTGGGGGTGGAATGGGGAGGGGTGAGTGCAGACTAAAGCAATGCCACAGAGCCCAGCCTCTTAGCTATGGCTCCAGACCTTCCTAACTCCGCGTGTAATTGACCCAAGTTGGAGAAGCTGTGGGGTCTGATGAGTTTAAGTTTAAGTGGCTCATCTGGAAGTTTAAGTGGCTCATTCTAGGGATTTGAATCAATTTGGCAGCAAGACAGCACCCACTCTGGCTTCGTTCAAACAACTTCATGGGAGGGAAGGGTGACTCACACACACACATAGGCTTCTGGAATCATCCAACTTCTTGATCAGTGGTGTGGCCAAGCCTGTTTCCACAGTACTCTTCTAGTCAGAGTGAGCCCACAGCTGCGCCCTGAACCCGAGGTGTGAGGTAGCTTCCAGCTTCCTCTCTTTCTCTCCTCTGTGGAAGCAGTTAGCACTGTGAAGTTTTAACGGCTGGGTCTTTCACATGTCTAACTCCATGGCAGGTGTGGCAATGATGTTGGAATGGCATGTAGGCTTTTTTTTCATGGAAATCTAACTAGATCCTATTCTGGATTGTTCTCAAGACTGTTTTCCTCACATTTGGCCAGCCAAGGCAATCGGTAAACATGATGGCAATTAGAAACCAGTCATGGAACACAATTCTTTTCCTTGTCTCTCGTGACCGTGGAACCTTTTCTTAACTCCTTCACACATCTTCCTTGGCAGGACATCGCCTCCACTGGTGAGCAAGAAGGAGGTGTCATAGACCTTTAGAACTTTTAGTCCAGAAGAAAACTTTAGAAATCCCCTAGTTGAAGAGGGCTGAGAGGTTTGGCCTCACTTTGTGGGAAGTTAAATGGGAAGTTCTCTATCCTGCACAGCTTCCTGATCCCATCAGCGTAATAATCCTTCATCCTTCTGAGAAGTGGTGATCTGGGAAAATAGCCTTCAGATTATTATTCTATATTGCCTTTTTAGATATTAGACTGTATCGAAAGACAAAAGCCTCACTGATGTGGATAAGATAAAATTTCAAAAATGTAACTAAAAATCTTGGGCAATTATATTCAATTTAACCACAGGGAATAAGCCATAGTATAAGATTTTGTGGGGGAAAAAGTGTGTAATGACTCAAGTAGGTTATTGACTTTTTATAAGTGTGTATGTGTATTATGTGTGTGATTGTGTGTATGTGTGTTTAGGTTCCAAATAAGCTGTTTTAAATATAAAGGAACTTATGAATTAGTTTTGGCACCCAATGGTAAGATCATAGAAGGGTCATGAGATGTGACTTCCAGTTCTTCTGGACACTCTCCTTACAGATGTGCATGCTTCACCTGGTTTGTACCCAGAATCAACTTACCATAGGTTGTTTACAGAATATAAGGCAAAAATAAATATTTCTACATCTGGCAAGCAAGTAATAGGAAGTCCCCCCTAGAAATTAGCTGTTGGGCTGCCCAACCTAATCAGGAGGCAGCGTGTAACTTAATCTGAGTTCTGATTGAAATCATTTGGGTGCATTGCCCATGTCTGGTTCCTGTCTAGGCATCCCTGCTGTAGACCTTGTGCAAAGACAGATAGGAATGTGGATGGTCCGAAGACTCCCTGCAGTTGACAATGACACCAACTAGGAGGCAGAGCTCTTCAAAAGTAATTGCTTCTTTATTGCAAGTCTAAAGGGAAGCCATTTGCCCTGCCTGCACTGTGTACAGGTAGTATAGAAAGGCACTGTGTTATTTTTGTCCCAAAGTATAACAAAACAATCCACAAAATGACATCCTGATAGCCTGAAAAGTTGACTGTCAAAAGCAACTCAATTTTAGTCATAATATCATAGAGTAATGTAAGAAGAATTAAAACATTCTTGATGGTTTGCAGCTCTGAAAACACTTTCATGTTCATGATGTTTTGAGCCTCATATTGATTCTTTGAGGCAGGTAAGAAACATTTTCCTCTCCTCACTTTTCAGCTTGGGAAAGAAAGGCCAGAGAAAGAGTTAAGAAGCAGAAAATCCAGGATTGGAAGTCAAGCACTGGAAAATCCACCCCAAGAAAATTTTAATGGTTTCCAGATTACAAACCGCTTTCTTCACAGTACTGGCAAATACCCCGTGGCTCTCCACATCTGGTTAACTTTACTTTACCACTTTACTTTATTGCCCAATAATCATATGTTAAGGTGTTGAAATCCACAGTCTATCTACTCCTGGACTTTGAGGTCACAATGATGTCAAACATCCAAGAGGCTTTCAGGTTAACCAGCCTAATACTGTCACCTGCTTTCTAAGTCCTTCTCTTTCTTCAAAACCAAAGTCTTGTCTTCTCTGAGAAGGTTTATTCTGACAAAGCCAACTGAAATGAATTCCTTCCGCTTTTAGTCCTTGAACAATCAATGTACTTGTAAAAACTCTCTCCTAAGACAGAGTTGATTATTAATTACTCCATAACTTTTGTTTTGTCTATCCCAAGTTAACCATAAACTTTAAAATCAGCACTGGGGATTTCCCTGGTTGTGCTGTGGTTAAGAATCCGCCTGCCAATGCAGGGGCACGGGCTGGAGCCCTGGTCAGGGAAGATCCCACATGCTGCGGAGCAACTAAGCCCATGCACCACAACTACTGAGCCTGCACTCTGCAGCCCGTGAGCCACAACTACTGAAGCCCACTCCCATAGAGCCCATGCTCCACAACAAGAGAAGCCACTGCAATGAGAAGCGCGCACACCGCTATGAAGAGTAGCCCCTACTCGCCACAACTAGAGGAAGCCCATGCACAGCAATGAAGACCCAACTCAGCCAAAAATAAATAAATTAAATAAATAAATTTATAGATAAATAAAAAAATAAACAAAATCAGCACTGATGTCTTATATTTCTCACTTGACCTCCCATAAGTTTCAAGTTCAGTAGCAAGCAGTTCATGAACATTTGATGACAAATAATGTTAACTTTTAAATTTTGTAGTGCACTTTAAAGTGCAAGTGGATCTTAAAGTTAAGGAGGAAAGAATAGGGTGGTTTACTGTCATTAATCATTTGAACTTATCTATTTTGAATTGGCTTTCCCAATGTTGAAAATTTTTTCTTGACTATTCTTAGGGACTGTTCAGATGATATTTTCAGTCTTTGGAATCTGAACCATTCAAAAGAATGTTCAGAAACCAGCAAGATATTTGATATTGAAAGAAAAACTATATACGACTAAGGTGTCAACCAAAATACATGTTTTATGTGACTTAGAGATTGTTGGAGATAAGTGATAAGGGAAAATTCTGATTAGGTTATACTGTGTTGAATGGTAACAGTGTGGGAATGTTATTCTAAATTGATCTCTTCCAACAAATCAGAGAGGCCTTTAGTGATGTGATTTAGTATATGACTTAGGCCTTTTCAAATATTTTTCTAAGTTTCTATTTTCTCTTATATCCACTACTCTTTATATTACCTTTAAGAAATGCTGTATATTGCAGTAAGAAAAGATGTGGACATATCATTATCAGGTTAAGCACATCAAAGATATCAGTATAAGAGTTTATCAATCAATAAGAGTTTAAGTGGAAAATAGAGTTACTTGCTTGCATGCAAAAGAAAAGGAAAAGGCCAGTTACTTTTGGCTTAACTTTGCAATATCAATGCAGTCTGTCTCCTTCCGTATTGGGTTTGGCAGCCTTACGAAGAAGGGGCATCATTTAGGGAAGAACTTTGCTTCAAAGTTGTCCCAGATTTACTGTGATATGTCAGGAATGTTTTCTCCCTTTTATTCATTATCTAATTTTCCTGCTACCCATTTCAGATTAAATCTGCTTGAGAAGAAGTAAATGAATGAACTTTGAGTCTAAACTGAGCTAGGCTCCTACTAACCATAGGTAGGTTTTTCCTTGCCACCTCCTGGGTGTAAGGGGTAGCTAGTTATTTTTGTTCAGCTGTGCAAGCCTGGCCTGCAAAAAGTTTTCGTTGACAAGAGATGATAGATGGAAAAAAAAAAAGGAATGAGCATTAATGTTTTAAATGTTGCCAAAAGCCTTGGGCTTCTCAGAAATGGGAAGTATTCATTACTCTCTTCAGAAATTTAGTCTGGGCTCAGCAAGAAAAGAAAATCTTTCAAGGGATTAGCTATCTTAAGTAACTTTTTCTGAGAAGTCATTTGTCTGATACTGTAGAGGTCCTTTGTGGAAGTTAGACCTCTAATACTGTGCTTAATAATGGTCATTTACTGTACTGTTTTTGAATACCGTGATCTTCATAACTTTTTTTAGGAGAATATCCACTTCTACATGAACTTACGGTGTCTTTCATTCTCATTTAATATATATCAGAACATAATTGATTGCTGTTTTAATAAGGATAATTGTGATGTATTTATATGTGTGTGATTTATGCATTTCCTAGAGAATCAAAACTCTCTTTGGCCCCCCTTGTCACTACTTGAACAAATAGCAAAGACTCAGCATTTGACAAGTATCGAAGACAATGTTCATGAACTTAAAAATCAAACACACACACACATACCACCACGAACAACAATGCTACGGTCTGAATGTTTGTGTCTCCCCCAGAATTCATACATTGAAATCCTAACCCCCAATATGATGGTATTAGGAGGCCAGGCCTTTGGGAGGTGATTAGGACATGAGGGAAGATCTCTCATGAATGGGATTAAGGTCCTTATAAAAGATGCCCCACAGAGCCCCCTTACTTCTTTCAATCATGTGAGGATACAGCAAGAAGGCACCATCTATGAACCAGGAAACAAGGTCTCACCAGACACTGAATCTGCCAGCATCTTGATTCTGAACTTCCCAGTGTCCAGAACTGTAAGCAATAAATTTCTTTTATAAATTTAGGCCAAATAGACTAAAACAAACAATAACAACATCAACAAAACAAAGTTCAAAAGAGAAAAATAAGAATAGAACACATCTTATAGTGACGTTTTGCCACAAATTTTTTCCATAAATCTAATTATGAATCCCTAATGAATAACCACTTTTATGTATTTTTGAAATATTATTTTCATAAAAACTAGGAATTAGGAAATTGATCCCAGTGACATAAGAGGTGTTGCAATGCCAAACAAAAGTCACAAAATCCTAGAAATTCTGGCTAATGATGGACTATGGTAGCTTACTAACCCTTTGGGATTTTAAAGCATGGCTTCCCCTGGAGAGTAAATTGACCAGGGTGTTAAGAAAATGTCTTGCTTTGAATCATTTTGGTTTAAAAAAATTCAATTTTAATAAATCAGACTGGAAATAATCTTCTTTGGAACAGAATGTTCCTTGGGAACAACTTTTATTTTTCCCTAATTTAAATTTGAGAACTAGACTGGTGAATGCTATGACCAAAGACTATGTCATAGAAAGAGAAAAATAATAGTGGCGAATGTATTAGAAATAGACCAAAGTTGGTTTTGCTCACAGTGTGATTATGCACAAGTAGTTTTTTTAAAATAATAAATGAAAGTTGTGAAGGTTTTATATGAAGTATATCCAATTAGCTTTCCATGATGGCTTGAAAATAAAATCATAACTTAGACTGAGGGAGTAAAATCCATGAAGGAAAGAATTGACAAGCTGGTCTTCATTAAAATTAAAACTTCCTGTTCTGCAAAAGACACTACCAAGAGGATGAAAAGTCAAGCCACAGACTAGGAGAAAATATTTGCAAAAGATATATCTGATAAACGATTATTGTCCAAAATACCCAAAGAACTCTTAAAACTCAACAATAAGAGCACAAATAACATGATTAAATAAGAAGAAGAAGATTTTAGCAAACCCCTTACCAAAGAAGATATACAGATGACAAATAATATGAAATATTGAATATTATGAAAAGATGCTCTACATTATATGTCATCAGGGCAATTCAAATTAAAAAACAAACAAACAAAACACAGTGAGATACCACTACACACTTATTAGAATGACCAAAATCCAGAACACTGACACCACCAAGTGCTGATGAGGATGTTAAAGAATGGGAACTCTTATTCATTGCTCTTAGGAATACAAAATGGTATAGGCACTTTGGAATGCAGTTTGTCAGTTTCTTACAAAACTAAACATTCTCAGCCTACCTTCTGTCAATTGTGCTCCTTGAGATTTACCCAAAGGAGTTGAAAACTACGTCCACACAAAAAACCTGCACACAGATGTTTATAGCAGCTTTATTCATAATTGCCAAAACTTGGAAGCAACCAAGAGGCCTTTCAGTAGGCGAATGGATAAATAATTATATATCCAGACAATGGAAAATTGTTCAGTGCTTAAAGGAAATGAGCTATCAATCTATGAAAATATATAGAGGAAACTTAAATGCATATTATTAAGTGAAAGAAGGCAATCTGATAAAACCATACATACTGTATGATTCCAACTATATAACATTCTGGAAAAGGCAAAGCCATGAAGACAGTAAAAAAATCACTGGTTGCCAGGGGCTGAGGAGCTACGGAGAGATAAATAGGTATAGCACAGAGGATTTGCAGGGCACTGAGAATACTCTATGGTATTATAATGATAGATACCTGTCATTATACACTAGTCCATACCATAGAATGTACAACACCAGAGTGAACCCTAATGTAAACCAAGGACTCTGAATTACAATGATGGGTCAGTGTAGGTTCATCAGTTGTAACATATGTACCACTCTGGTGCGAGAATGTGATAATGCAGGAGGCTATGCATGTGTGGAAGCAGGGCATATACAGGAAATCTCTATACTTTCAGTTTTGCTGTGAACCTAAAACTGCTCTAAAAAATAAAGCCTATTTTTAAAATTTAAAAAATTTTGAAAAGAAAAAAAGATGTTTTTTCAGCCATGAATTGCTGGCTTACCTAGATTCCATTTGTTCCAATGCCACTAACCTTCTGTGAAATCTTAACTTATCACTTCTTTAAAAGAAAATACCATTTTCTTCTCTATATGATGAGTGAGAGGAACAAACAGGATAGCTGTGAAAACTTTTTATGTTTCAAATTGAGATAAAATTTACATAGTGAAATGCATACATCTTAAGTGTACAGTTCAAAAAGTTTTGAAATATGTAAACAATTAATCAAGATATAGAACATTTCAACTTCTCAGAAAATCTGTGCTCTTTTCCATTTAATCTCTTTCCTCCTGAGGAAACCACTATTCCTATTTTTAGTTTTCCTATACTTGAATTTCACATAAATGGAATCATTCAATATGTACTCTTTTGTGCCTGGTTTCTTTGGCTCAACTTAATGTCTATGAGATCCATCCAGTAGCATATTCCTTTTTATTCAATTGAATATGCCTTAAATAATTCAAACGAGATTCAGTTGTACAAATATACCAAAATTTGTTCATCTATTCATCTGCAGGCACTTGGATCAGTTTGGGGCTCATAATTTGACTATTATGAATAAAGTGGCCATAAACATTATATAAATATTTTTGTGTGTTCTCAGA